GCGGGGCCGCGGGGGGGCGGGGCCGGGGCGGGGCGTTGCCATGGGAGCGGCAGAGTGAGTGACGGGCGAGGCGGAAGCGGCCGGGCGGCCATGGGGGGCTCAGCCAGCCTGCTCCCCCGGGAGGCGCTGGGCGAGTACCAGGTGCGAGGGGACCGGGGCCGGGACGGGAGGAGCGGGGCCGGGGAGTCCCGGGGGTGGAGGGCTCTCGGCCGGGGGAACGGGACGGGACGGGAAGTGACGGGGGAGCCCCGAGGCCAAGGGCCGCTGGAGCTGGGGGTGCCCCGGGCCGGGCCCCGTGCTGATCTCTGCTCTCCCCGCAGGAGCTGACGTTCCTGACCAAGCAGGAGATCCTGCTGTAAGTACGGCCACGGCCCCACCGGGATGGGGGTACTGGCCTTGGGCCCCGCCAGGACGGGGGTGCTGGCCCTGAGTCCACTACCGAGAGGGGGTGCTGGCTCCGGGACCCCCATACTCACAGGGCCAGCCCCCTCCCCTCAGTCTCCAGGAGGGGGTTTGCCCCTGGCTTGGGGGTGCAGAGGGCCCCGGCCCTGCTGGGGGTTCCCTTCTGCTGAGCAGGAGACGGGAGGTGCCCATCCCAGGCCGGGACCGGGGAGCAAAGGGCAGGGGCCTGGCCGGTGACGCCCTGCAGGGCATTGGCCCCGAGTTGGCTTATCCCCCTTTGCGGTCCCAGCCCTCTGGGGGGGACAGGCTGGCTCCTCTCCCCCACTGCTGGCTGTTGGGGTCCCGGGAGCTGGTCCGGAGGCCCTGCCTGTGTGGGACCACCCGGGCCAGCACACTCCTGACCGGGCCAGCTCCGCTCACAGCTGGCAGGGAGCTGTGGGAAACGGGCTGTCTGCCTCTGTGCCGCGCTGGGAAGAGCTGCCGGCGCTGCCCGTGCCCAGAGGGGCTGCCTCCCGCGCCCCTCACGCCACAGAGCGTCTCTTGTTCTTGCCTCTTCAAGTGCCTACAAGAGGTTCAGTGAACTGCTGCCAAAGGAGGAGAGGGAGAATGCCTGCTCCGCGCGGGTTCCCAAGAGCCAGATCCTGACGTTGCCTGAGCTGCGGGTAGGGAGCCTGGCAGAGAGCGGGACGCGCTGCTGCTGCCCGGGTCGGGGCGTGTTTGGGCAGGGCCCTGTTTGCCCGCCGTGGCCCTTGCGGTGCCGCTGCTCTGCCCTCACCCTGCTGCTGCTCCGGCAGTCACCTGGGGAAGCTGTTCACTTACCGCACGTCAGCTGTGCCAACAAACAGCTTCCTCGTCCCTGCCGTGCCACGGAGGATCCTGGAGATCCTTGCACTGCAGGGCTGCTGTCCCGGGGAGGCACTGGGCCGGCAGGGTCACGCTGCGTGTGGCAGACCCATGGCAGAGTGCTAGGGTCAGCACCAGCCTGTGGCTGGTGTTTGCCGCGAGGTAGCCAGCCCAGCCCTGCCCCGAGCCATTCCTGTGTTGGCAGGCAAACCCCTTCCAGCACCGGATCTGCCAGGTGTTCTCCACCTCAGGGAATGGGGATGACAGCATGTCCTTTGAAGACTTCCTTGATATGCTGAGCGTCTTCAGCGACTCCGCTACCTTGGACATCAAATCCCACTACGCCTTCCGCATCTTTGGTGAGGCTGGGGTGGGTGCTGTGTCCTGGGGTCCCCGCACCTTGTGGGGAGCCGATGCAAATCTTTGTTCAGAGCACTGGCAGTGCCCTCGAGGCACCCATAGGGATGGTGGCTTTAGGAATTCCCTGTAGGAACCGCTGGTTTGGCATGATGACATGCACTGGGAGGTGTGACACGGAGCCTGCTGTGTCCTCAGGTCACCCAGGCCCTCTCCTCGCCTGGGTGCTCGTCACTCACTGGGGTCACTGTGGCCCTGTCAAAACGTAACTTTCTTCTCCCCATAGACTTTGACGAGGATGGGACCCTGGACAGAAGTGACCTGGAGAAGCTGGTGGACTGTCTGACGGGAAAAGGCGAGGAGTCCCGGCTGAGCAATGCGGAGATGGAGCAGCTCATCCAAAATGTGAGGCCCATCAGGCTGGGCACGGGCCGCTGCAGGTTCCTGGCCCTGCAGAGCTCACCGCTCGCCTTTCCCTCCCCCAGATCCTGGAGGAGTCCGACATCGACAAGGACGGCACCATCAACCTCTCCGAGTTCCAGCACGTCATCTCCCGCTCTCCAGACTTTGTCAGGTACAATGTTCTCCAGTTGCACCGCTTGTCCTGGGGGGGCCTTTCTGGGCGGTTCTCTGGCGTTGGGGCAGAGCTCTGGGTGGTAGTGGGGCAGGGCTACCCCGTACGAGGGAACCGCGTCCTGCATGAGCTCTGCAAGAGCCTCTCCCGCACGGGGTGACGCTGCTTCCTTAAACACAGGGCACAAACCCTGTGTGCATGATCCAGTGAGGAGGCACAGAACGTGTTGTGTCTCTTGCAGCTCCTTCAAGATCGTCCTGTGAGAGCCCCGCGGCTCTCCAGAACTGCTCCCCCGGCTACAGCAGCTCCCTGTGGTCTCAGATGTTCACCTCTTTCAGCAGCAGAGTGGCTGAGGCCCCTGATCCTCATCAGCCTGGTGGTGCCACACAGTGCCTTAGGCAGGACCCCCTCCTGCTCCCCATTCCCCCCGAGTGGGGCCTGGGAAAGCTGCCTCACCAGCAGCCCCAGCCATGTCTGCCCTCCCAGGGTGGGATTTTAACTCCTGATGCAAACCAAGAGCAGCTCTGGGGGCAGAGGGGGCCACCCTGCACCACAGACAGCCCCCCTCTGCCCTCACTACCAATTGGTGCCTTCACTGGTGGGCAGGGAGCTACCTCCCCCCACCAAGCCCCTGCCTGGCTCTCCCGTCTTCCCGGGGGCCTCCCTGCTGCAACATGGGTCCCTTTCTCAAAGCAATAATCCAAACAAGGTCCATTTCTCAAAGCAATACCCCAAATGTGGGTCCATTTCTCAGAGAAATACCCCAAAACGTGGGTCTGTTTCTCAAAGCAATAATCCAAAGGAAGGTCCCTTTCTCAAAGCAATAACTCAAACGGTGGATCTGCTTCCCAAAGCGATACCCCAAACGAGGGTCTGTTTCTTAAACCAATACCCCAAATACGGAGCTGTTTCTTGAAGCAATAATTCAAACGTGCATCTGTTTCCCAAAGCAGTACCCCAGGTGGCACCACAGATGTGCCACCCCCGCAGCAGAGCTGTCCCCCCATGGCTGTGGAGGATGCAGGACATCTTCTATTGAGGCATCGCAGCCGGCTGACCCCACGCTGCCTCGGCACGGACCCCCCTGGGGGCTGCTCTCCTTTTCCTCCTCCTCCTCTCCTCTCTGCCCCTGCTCTGGCTCTGGCCTCTTCCTTCCCCTGCTCCTGCGAGGACACAAATAAAGGGCTCTGGTTTCACCCTCCGCTCTGGGACGCCTTTGTCTGGCTGCGGGGGCCACGCGGTGGGAGCGGTGCCATGCGGGGTGCTGGGGACACGGCCTCCTGCCAGGCCCCTCTGCTCGCTCGCCAGCCGCCGCTCCGGGGGACGGGTCCCACGTCCCGCTCGGTGACAGCCCTTTCCGCGGGCAACCTCCCTCCTCCAAACCCGGGGACTGTTCTCAGCGGCACAAAGAGCTCTGCTCTCCGGAGAGAGGCACAAAGGGAAATCCAGGGCAGGCGAGCAGCTACCTTTGCTGCGGGCAGCGACGGAGCCTTTTGTGTCTGTTCATCCATCAGGCTTCGCCCTGGCCGGCTGCCAGTCACGGCCAGTGGCCCTGCCTGGGCTTCCCAGCGAGCCCCCGGACCCCCCGGCAGCACTCCCACCCCCCCAGCAAGGCTCCTCCGTGCCGGAGCCGCTCTGCGAGGGGATGCTGGGGCTGTGGCACCACATGCCGGGGCCGGTGCAGTTCCCGGTGCAGTGCCCGGGGTCTCGCTCACCCGTTCTGGGGCCGTCGGCTCTCCCGGGGCGCCGGTGCAGCTGTTTCTCACGTCCCGGCTCCTGGCTGTGCCGGCCCTTCCAGCTCGGCCTCCCGGGGGGCCAATGGTATCTGCCTGCTGCGGCCTGTGCCCCTGCGGCCCCGGGGGCCATGTCTGCTGGCACAGCACCAGCCAACGCCTCCGGTGGCTTTTTTGATGTCCCAGAACAGGCTGGGCAGGAAGCTGGGTGCGCTGGTCCAGCCGGGAGCGAGGCAGCGCCGGTGCCGGGGGGATTGGCCTGTCCCGACACGCCAGCTCGGAGTGGAACCCATGGCTTCCCCCCGCCCCGTGCCCACGCTGCCGGCGCTTCCCAGGCAGGAGGGATCACGAAAGGCGCAGGATCGTGATTCAGGCAGGACCCGGGCATGAGCCATCATGAAGCTGGCTCCTGCTGGGAAAGCAGCGGGGAGTCTGCCTGCAGCTCAGTGGGACAGGGACAAGGACCTGCCGGTCCCCCAGGCTGGCAGCGGGGTCCTACCTGCAGCACAAGACTGTGGTCCTGGGAAATCACAGCATGGTTTGGGTTGGAAGGGACCGTGAAGCCCCCCCAGTGCCCTGCAGGGTGAGAGTGGGTGGTGTGTTTGGTTCTCTCCTGACCACCCTCCTGCTCTAGAGGAAAGCAAGTGATCCGAGTCATTACACCAACTGTGGGGGCAACCTGCTCAAAGAAGAAAAGCAGCACGTAAAGCTGTGGAAGGTACTTGCTAAGGTAGGTCCAGCCCTGCAGAAGAAGCTGTAGAATCATAGAATGGTTAGAGTTAGAAGGGACCTTAAAGCCCCCCCAGTGCCACCCCCTGCCCTGGGCAGGGACACCTCCCACCACACCAGGTTGCTCCAAGCCCCCTCTAACCTGCCCTCGAACCCCTCCAGGGATGGGGCAGCCACAGCTTCTCTGGCCAACCTGGGCCAGGCTCTCACCACCCTCACACCAAACAAGTTCTTCCCCACATCTCAGCTCCATCTCTCCTCTTTCAGGGTCAAACCTTTCCCCCTCCTCCTAGGGCTCCCCTCCCTGATCCAGAGTCCCCCCCCAGCTTTCCTGGAGCCCCTTTAGGGACTGGAAGGGGCTCTGAGGTCTCCCCGGAGCCTTCTCTTCTCCAGGCTGAACCCCCCAACTCTCTCAGCCTGTTCTCATAGGAAAGGGGCTGTCACAGCCCCTCTCCTGCCAGAGGCTGCCCCGCTCCCAGCCCCAGGCACCCACTTTTCTTCTTCCCAGTCACCTCTGTTTCTTGGGGTGCTGGGACAGCATCCAACCCCCACCGCGGGGGTCACTCTGGTCACCCCAGACTTTCCACCACAGCACACATCTCCATGCATGGTCCCAACACAGCCAGCTGCTGCCCAATCTTGCTGCCTTGGATGCACAAGACCCTGAGAGTGGGGTCACAGGGACCTTCTGGCACCAGCCCTGGGCAACATCACAGCGAGGAGCCTCGTCTGCCCCAGCCCAACACTTGGCCAAGCATACAGGGACCTTGGGACCACCAGCACAACCCTCCAGCCCCATCCATCCATTCATCCCTGCCTGGGCAAGGAGCAGCTGAACACAGGAAGGTTTTCCCCAAGACTTGTAGTGTGAGCCCGACTCGGTTCCTCTCCATGGGGCATCCAGACGGTCCCCTGTCCCTGGGAAGGTGCCCAGCCCCGCAGCTGCACACACGCGTACAAAGGAGACACCTGGACTTTATATAAAAACCACAGACGTTTCAGCACACGCACGTGGGGATGCGGCGGCGAGCGGCTGCCCGGCCCGGTGCAGGGCGAGCGCCGCCCCCGGCTCCCTCCCCGGGACACGATTCACATTTTCAACGTATTAAAAACGATCCAAGCACAGACACACAGCACATGCCGCCGGGTCACCGCGCCGGCACCGCCCGGCCACACGCGTGGCTCCGGGTCCCGCACTGGGACATCACAGTGAGTCGGGGCGCAGGGGGGGCTGCGGCCGCCCCCTCCCGCCCTCTGCATAGAGGGGGCCGGGGCCCCGCGGAGCCGGCAGCCTGAGCCAGGCACCATGTCCATCCCTGTGGGGAAAGTCCTGCACATCCCTGGAAGGCACGCAGCACCCCTCTGGTCCCAAGCCGCCAGCACCGTCCCAAGGAGCGGGGCCGGAGCAGCGGAGGTGATGCCCGGAGAGGTCCCCGGGGAACCGAGCCCCCACGGGACGAGGTGGGACCGGCCCTGCCGGCTGGGTGGGTGGGTGGGTGCCGTAGCGGGGCGCGGGCTCCGGGCATGCACACACAGACAACACGGACCCTAGCCGCGGCGCCGCGGTCCGGTGAGGCTCAGCAGAGCAGAGGGCTCGGGCTCTCCTCCCTGTCACACCACCGAGTCCTGGATCTCGGAGCCCAGGCGCACCCGGGGTCTTTGGCAGGCGGGAGACACCTCCACGAAGCTGTCCCGGACGTGGAGGGGCCTCTTCTCCGATTCGGAGAAGGCGCGTGGGGGGCCCGGGGGCTCATGCACGGGGGTGCTGACAATGTAGTTGTCCTGCAGGGCCTGGTAGCCTTTGTGCTCGGGCACGGTGCTGGGCAGGCTGCTGCCATTCAGGGGGAGGCTCTCCACTGGCTTGCGGGGCGGCTTCTGGTGCCGGCCGGGGTCGCCGGGCTCCAGCAAGGCTTTCATGCCGTCGCGGTGCCGGTGCAGGAGGAAAAGGACCAGCACGAGGACGGCGGTGACAAAGAGCACGCACATCACCAGGAATTCAGTCCAGTAGGTCTTGCCGTCCAGCCGGGCCGCGGCACTGCCCACCGCGGAGGTGCTCCGGGAGGTGCTGACGGTCTCCAGGGCATCCCGGCCGCTGGGTGTCTTCCTGGCAGTGTCCAGCGGCCCATGGACTGGCTCCTGCACACTCACGCAGTAGTTGGCCATCAGCTTGTGGAAGCCTTCCTCCAGCGACCAGCACTCGTAGGTGCCCGCCCGCTCGGGGCTGCCCACCAGGATGAGGGCCCCGTCGGGCAGCACCAGGTAGGAGGCGTTGACGGGCGCCCCACGGTGCAGCCATTGCCGTGAGGCCAGGTTGGAGAGGAGCTGGCAGGGCAGCGGCCGCACCGCGTTGGACGGCATCTGGATCTGCTGGCATGGGGAGGCCAAGGCTGCGGGGAGACAACCCATGGGGACATCAGTGAGGCTAAGGGGACCCCAGAGCCCTCGGAACACCCTGGGCTATCGGTGGCCCCAGCGCCGAGGTCAGAACGGGCAGAAGCTCACCTGGGGGCAGGAAGATGCGGGGTCGGAGCCGGGAGGTGTTGGTGAGCTGGCAGAGCCGCTCCGTGTCAGCGTCCTCGATGTCCTGCGCCCAGAGCCTGGGGACAGAGAGGAGTCAGGGCGGCAGGGGGTGGCGGGGGACAGGGGTACAGAGAGAGGGTGCAGCACTTACTCGGGGTGCGCTGGGGGGTGCGGGGTGGTCCTGCGGCAGGCGCCCCGGCTCCATGCGCAGAAGGGGTCCCGCGCCAGCACGCACTCCCCACAGCTGCGGTACAGGCTGCAGTTGGCGAAGGGCACCTGCGCCACCGCCGTGTAGGTGGCTGCATACACCAGGCCCTGTGGGAGTGGGCACAGTGGGGTCAGTGGCTGGGCCCTGCACACCCCTGTCCCCCAGCCCACCAACACGACCTGCCCCCTCGCCCCCAGCATCCCCGCCTCCTCGCCCCAACCCCGGTGCCCCCGTGCCCGGTTCCTGCCTGGTCATGGTCCAGCAGCAGCTGGAGAACGGGCTGGCCGGCAGGGAAGAGGTGGATCTCCTCAATGATGTGCACCCCGTGGTTCACACGCACAGCCTTGTGCAACCGGCCGTCATCTGCAAACACAAGGGCCATCCTGAGCGGGGCGGGGGGCGGGCAGCGCACTGGCACCCCCTCCCACTGGCACCCCCTCCCACCGGCACCCACCCCGGAACCCCCTCCCGCCAGCAGCTCCCGGTGGCACCCACCCGTGCCCAGGAAGAGGACATCGTAGGTGCTGTGGAGGCCCTGGGCGCGGTGGACGCCGATCTGCTGGTAGCGCAGGCGGCTCTGCAGCAGCAGGGGCTGGCTGCGCACCGGGCTGTCCATCAGGAAGTGGTCCTTGATGAAGTTCAGCACCCGGTCCGGCATCTGCAGGGACGAGTTGATCTTCAGGTGCCGCGTGTGGCTGGTGATGCACTGGGGAGAGATGAAGGGGCTGGGCTGGGGCACGGGACAGCAGGCGGCCGTGCCACCGCAGCCGCCAGGAATGGGAGACCAGGAGGGGCTGCCCCGAGACCCACAGCCAGGCGGGCGCTGAGGAGGCACTTACCGTGCCCGGCCGCGGCTCCGGCACGGGGCCGGTGTCCGTGTACCACTGCTGCGTCTCGCGGTTCACCTCCTTGTAGAGCCCGCCGAAGGCGTGCTGCACGCTGCGCATGGGGAAGGCGCACACGGCCGAGCTGCCCCCGCCGCCCTTGTTCCTGGTGGGGGAAGAGGCCAAACCCACGGCAAGATCAGGCTCCCCGGCTCCACCGAGCCCCCTGAGCCCCCCCAGCAACCAGAGTGTGGCCAGAGCCAACCCACACCTCCCCCAACCCCCCCCGCGGGGCTGCAGGCAGCACTCCCGGGTCCCCACACCATGCCCCCCACATGCTGCTTACCACTGGGAGGTGAAGACCCCGTAGAAGAGCGTCTCCCTCCAGCGCAGCTCCCCTGGGGTGAGCACGAAGACGTCCTGCAGCACGTTGAAGGGGAAGCCGTCCTCGGGGTGGGAGCAAAGCAGCTGTGCCTTCAGGAAGGTGGTCCACCGCCGCTGCAGCACGCGCTCCCCGCCCTGGTCCCCCTGCACGGCACAGCGGGTCAGGGCATGGCACCACGGCCACCGGGAGCCCCCTGGGGCTGGGTGAGCACAGCAGGGGTCTGCCCGTCCGTGCAGCAGTGCCCAGGCCCAGGGGAGCAGCCCCAGTGTCAGGGAGCGAAGCAGCGTGCCCAGGGCAAGAGAAACACGACCCAAGAGCAGGATGGGGCTTGTGTCCCCTGTGGCGAGGGAGCAGAGATGGGAAGGGTCGCTGCCGCCAACACGGCCAGCAGGAGGAATGGGCTCGAGCCACAGCCCTGGGCTGGGCACTGCAGAGCCGTAACTGCCTCAGAGGGGTCTCCCGTGGGCACTGGTCACCTCCAGGTGTCCAGGAACCCAGGGATGGAGATGTGCAGGGTGGTCCCACATCCCCCCCGGCACCCCACTGCCCTGTGCCCACCTTGCACACACGCGCGATGCGGGAGACGATGGTGTTCTCAAAGTAGTCGAACTCCTTGCCCGTCTCGCTGAAGAAGAAGTAGACCTTGTCGTCGTCACCCTCGGGGTTGCCGGCGGGCAAGCTCTCCCTCAGGTAGGCTGAGCCCACGAAGACTGGGTCTGGGGACACGGGCACCCTCAGCATCGCCCACCCGAGACGGAGACCCCGATGCCCCATGCCAGCCCCAGCTCTCACCCTGCAGCCAGTTGAGGGAGTTCTCCGTTTTGAGGGCGATGCGGCTCTCCTGGCTGCGGTAGATGGTCGGCTCGTTGCCCTGGAAGTTGCTGACAGTCCCGGCGTAGAGCTCGCCGTCTGCCAAAGAGACGCTCCCGCTGAGACCCGGCACACGCCGCCCGGCACAGCCCCCCCTGACCCCCCGCAGGGGTCCACGTCAGCCCGGCCCCAGTTCAGCCCAGCTGAGCTGCCGGGCGCTGCGGAGACAGCGAGGGTCCCGGGGTGGCCTTACCGACCATGACGGCCGTGGACCGGTACTCGGGGTCGAAGGGGCAGCGTCCCTTCCCGTCCTCCAGCAGCACCTTCCCCGAGGCGTCACGCTCCAGGCTGAAGTGCTGCACGTTCTGCAATAGGACCAGACCGTGAGGCGGCAGCACCGCCAGCGCCCGGGACCCCTGAGGGTCCCCCCGCAGGACCAGTGGCCCCCTGCCCCGCTCCCCATGCTCACAATGTAGGCGCAGGCTGGGCTGAAGGCACAGGTCCCGCAGGTGTAGAGGTGGGTGCTGTTCAGCCGCAGCAGCATCTTGATGTAGTTGTGACAGTCTCTCTGCAGGGGCGAGAGGACCCGGCTCAGCCCCCCTGCCCGCGGGCACCCTGGCACGGGGCACTGCCAGCCCCCACTGCAGCCCCCCACCACCTGCCAGCAGCGGGGCTCACCTGGGGGTCCTTGCCCTTGAACACGCACTGCCTCTTCTTCTCCTCATCTGCGCTCCAGGGCAGCTGCAGGGAGGGGACGGTCATCAGGAGCCCCCTGGCACTGGCTGGTCCCACCTGCCACCCCTCTGGGGCTGGCAGAGCTCGTCCCCTCAACATCCCTGTCCCCCCCATCCCTGTCGGGCTGGCCCAAGCACTCTGTGCCCAGGACAGTCAGGGCAGCTGCCTTCGCACTGGCCCAACTGGCTCCCGAATGTGCTGCGGCTCACACAGACCCCAAAGGAGCACCGGGGAGGGGACCCCTTGCACCGGAGCTCACTTGATGTCCCCTTCTCTCCCTGCAGCCCAGCTCCAGGGGCTCCGCAGTCCCTTGGGGGGCCTTGCCCCCCTCCCAAGGGCTCACCCTTCGAGCCGGCGCCCCGGGCTGGAAGTGGCTGGTGTTGAGGGCCAGGAGCAGCTCGCGTGCCCCCAGGTAGAGGGTGCCGCCGTCGGGGCTCAGCAGCAGGGCCGTGTAGTTGGACACGCCAGGCACCTCGAACCGCTGCACGACGCGCTCAGCCGAGTCTGGGGAGGGAGAGGGACGGCATCAGCCCCAGGCAGCCCGTGCGGGGCAGCACCTGATCCCCCCAGGGTCCCCGCCGTGCCTCCCCCATGGAGCTGTGGGGCCAGACCCGGCTCTCCCCACGGGCACCGCAGTGAACCCTGCTCATCCACGACAGCGCCCGAGGGCAGCACCAGCCACTGCCTTGTCCCGGCCCCCGGGGACAGCCCCGGGACACGCCGCAGCAGCCCTGACCAAGCCAGGTCTGTGCCCGCCCAGACGCACGCAGCCCCCGGGGTCAGCCCCGCGGCACGGGTGGCCCAGCCCGGCCCCGTGGGGACACCGAGCCCGTGGTGGGGAGGGTGTCTGCTTCCTTCCCCCAGTGGCTGCTGGTGCTGGGTGCTGAGACCAGCTGCCCCCCCGGCCCACGGGGCAGCCCCGGCAGCTGCCGGTGCCAGCCGCCGGTGCAGAGGCTGTGGCTGAGTCACGGAGCACCGGAGCCGTCCCGTGTGGGTGGCCTGGCCCCGGAAGCCCTTCCTCTCCCGCAGCCGCTCTGAATCAGGCGGGCCTGGCTGTGTCAGCGGGACACGTCGGGCTGACTCACCCTGCCAACTCCCTCACCCCTGACCCCCAGTGCCCCAGGGATGCCCTGACCTTTCCCGACCCCCTGCCCGCTCCCAGATCCCCGCCAGGATGGTCCTGGGGACCCCCCTCGGTGTAAGCCAGAGAGAGGGATGGAGGTGCTGCGGTGCCAGCAGCACTGCAGGGCTGGACCCTGCCCCTCTGTCCCTCCCCTGTCACTCCAAGAGCCCCACTGCCACTGGATGGGGTGGCATCCCCTCCGTCCCTGCGGGGCTCCGCTGGCCCCCAGCCCAGCACCCGCCCCGGCTCTCCCGCAGCAGCGCAGAGGGAAGGATGCTGATACCCCCCCCAGGGCATCCCCCCATGTGGGGTACGTGCCCCAGCACCAGGGGGATGCTGCCCATGGCGGGCAGGGCCCAGTGCAGGCAGTGGGGGGCAGTGGGGGCCCCCGCAGAGCTGTCCTGGCCGGGGAGCTGCGGGAGCCTGTGCCGGCTGCCAGGAGACCTGTTAGGACAAGACCTGCTTCTTCCAGACAAACCTGCTGGAGGCACATCCAGTGCTTCCAGGGGAGCAGCTCGCCAGCTCCTCCCTCCCACCAGCCGCAAGCGGCCATGCTCCCCAGGAGCCACCGCTGGCCACACGTCGCTGCCCACAGAGTGGCCGTCCCGTGCTCCCCGCCAGGCTCCCCGTGGCAGCGCTGGGGGTCCAGGTCAGGACCCCCAGGTGCTGCCCATGAGCCGCAGCCCCCGCAGCCGAAGCAGGCTCTGCAGGCGGGCAGAGCTCGGGCAGAGCTCGGCCAGAACCGGTCCGGGCAGGCAGGGCCAGGCAGCGCGGCACGGTGTGGCACTGCGTGGCACCATGCCGAGCCGGGCCATCCTGCTGGCTCCCAGGCCTCCTCTCCAGCTCGGTGGGTCCCAGATCCGCTGGTGCCACCACAACCATGGCTGGCGGTCACAGGGAGCGTGTGGCGGGGCCACGTCCACGCCGAGGAACCGCAGCACACGGAGCCAGGGAGCGCTCCCAGCTGCCAGAGCCGACCCGGCCCAAACCACTGCACCCTCCCCGGCTGCCCAGCCGGCGGCCAGCACGGGATGGGCTCCACTGGCCAGTGGCAGCTGGATTTAGCCACCTTCTCCTGGCAGCACAGCCAGCCCAGGCACACGTGGGCAGCCCCCACCATGACACAGCCCCAGCACTGGACAATGGAGCCGGGCCCAGCAGCTGCTGCTGCTGCTGAGCCTGAACTGCCCATGGAGGGTGGCCCACTGCTCACCCCCCAGGAGCTCTCTGCAGGGCGAGAGGGGTCTGCAGGACAGGCCCCCCCCACTCGCGAGAGGTTCTGCCTGAGCGGCCTCATGGCTGTCCTTCCCCAGTGCAGCCCCGAGCCCTTCTGGGGCCACGCCACTGATGGGGGCTACAGCGGGTCCCAGAGCAGCCCGGGGCCAGGCACAGCGCAGCAAGGGGCCGTGCAGAGCCCTAGGGACACAGCTGAGAGGGGAGGGGGCCCGCAGGCACCCCGCTGCCCAGACGGGGATGAAAGCACACGGCAGAGCAGGCAGAGTCCCCATGGCAGGCTCACCACATCCCACGCTTGCACAGGATGTGGCTGTTCCCGCTGCCCTGCACCCCTCTGTGCCCCAGACCCGCTCGCACCCTCGGCGTGGGTCCCAACCGAGGGAAGCCTCTTTGCTCTCCAACCACCGTGTGTGCAGCCCCGGGGGTCTGCTCTGTCCAAGCAGCACGTCCCCAGCCCTCGCTGCTGTGCCCCACAGCCCGGGGTGGCCCCGCTGCCCCACGTCCCCCCATGTCCCCGTGGAGCGGGGCCGCCCCAGCCCCACGGCGGGACACGCGCCCCAGCTTGCCGGGCTGGCTGGCAGGGTGTTGTGCAGCCTCAGCACCGACGGTGTCACAAGGCGTTTCCACGCGGGGCCGCCCCGTCCCGCGGCGTGGGGAGCCTGGGGGGG